ACCCGAGCTTTACCATCTTTTGGTAGTGGTGTACGGTACCTTTCTATTTGGCCAGGCTTTTATCAGGTGGGGTTAAACTTCGAGGCTTTTCTGGGGAATTGTTTTAGTATTTATTTTATATAATTGTTTTTATTGCATTTTTATTGTATTCTGTCTGAGACTTTTTGGGGGGAAGGCAGCATAGAAATCAAATAAATACTTTGTCCACTTTTTAGGAGTTCTATCATTGTGACTTGGCTTGGCACTGAAGAGGTGTTTTGCTTTGATGACTCTGAAGGTTTTGTAAGCCAGGTCTTACGCACATATGTTTTACTGTATACTGGGTTTGGCATGCTCATGACAAAGTTAAAGGGTAGAATATGGCCCTTGTGTAGAAACTAAACTTTTCAATAGTGAAATAATCATTGCAAATGTCTGTGGAAATGTGTGGTTATTGTATACAGTCTAACACATGATTGTGCTCTCAGTTATTTGTGATTTTGCTAGTTCTCTTTCTTTCCTGCTGTCTAAACAGGAGGGTATCCCAGAAAGCTTTGTCCCATATGCTGCTAATGCTGTTTTGTTTCTATAGCATTTAGCTACAATGTCTACTTTTGAGGGACTAAGTCAGGGGTGGGCAAATAAATTTCTAATATAAATTAGAAAATTAATATTAATCTGCCCTGGGCTGCCTGTCATGCAGCCCTCGAGGGCTTGCTGAAACTCACTAAGTGGCTCTCTGACCAAAATAACTGCTTGCCCCTGCACTAAGCATTAGCTAACTAGACTTCACCATAATTCAGTAATACAAACCTAAGCAGCTTGATAAGCATGGACACACACTGGTGATGCCTGACTTCAGTGGATATACAAAAACAATAATGCTACTTTAAACTGATATACAACAATAATGGAAGCAAATAAAACAAGCATACAAATTAGGGGTGTACCAATAAAGATTTTCTTGGCCAGTACTGATAGGTGATTGTTGGCTGATATCAGCCATATCGGCCAATACCAATCCGATAGTCAATTTATAGGAATGCAGCTGGGCAGCGAGGAGAGCAGCACCCTGCTAGTAAGTCTGTGAGGGGAAGGGGCGTGGTGGGGGAAGATTGAGGCCTCCACAGTGAGGGAAGGAGTGGGGCAGGGGCAGGCACTGCCCAGCCAGGGCGATGAATGTGACCCTGGAACCAGGAGTCAGACAGAGCTGTAGGCAGCTAGTCGGGGGGGTGCAGGGAGGTAGGGTGGCTCCCTGCCTCTGTGTGCATCTGTGGGGGAGGCATGTGCCCCCCCCAGATTTGTGCATGGAATGGAAGCGAGATGCCCGCTGTGGGCTCGGGACCCGGGGCTGGCAGGAGCTTGGTGGGCTATAGATGCCCAAAAATTCCCTGTAGCCACCCCCTGCCCTGCACAGCTGAGCCCACCCTGAGTCCAGTCTGGCTGAGCCCAGCCCCTGGCCCTGACCCCATAGCAGGCAGCCTCTGCCCCACACACGTCGTCCCCTCCCTCCTTCAGAGGTATGTGAAGTGGCGGGGAGCTACCCCACCCGCTTATGCTGCCCATGACTCTGTCCCATTCCCAGCCCCAGGGTCGCATTCACTGCCCTGGCTGGGCAGCCCCTGCCCCACTCCCTTCCTCACCATGAGGGCCCCCATCTGCTCCTCCCACGTCCCTTCCCTCAACACCCTTTCTTCCCCGCAGACTTACCGGTAAGACGCTGCTCTCCATGCTGCCCAGCTGCATTCCTGGCCACGTTTGTACAGCTGCACACATGCACGCAGCATTTATGTCGCGTCAGTGACATTGTCAGATACACTGGCCAAAAGAAGCCAATAGCTCATGGGTTGTCAACTGGGGGTACATGTACCCCTGGGGGTACTTGGAGCAGGCCTAGGAGGTTTGTACGGGGGGGCGGGAATGGAGCATCTCCACCTCCCAGGAGCAGGGCCAAGGCAGGGCGAGTGCAGTGGCGCCCATCTGCAGGGCAGGGAAGCTCGCATGCAGCGGCCTCATATCAGCCCAGTGAGTTTCCCCGCCCTGCAGAGGGGCACTGCTGACCTCACCCCAGCCCAGTGAGCTTCCCTGCCCTGGCCCTGCTCCTGGGACGTGGCAGTGCTCTGTCCCCACCCGCCATGTGCCATTATTGCCTCCCTGCTCTTTGTCCAGCTGCATGCCCCCCCCCCCCGCCCCCACACTAAAAAGAACTATCCAGGCAGATGTTTATTGGGGCTGCACAACGTTGTTTTTGGAGGTTTGAAGCCTTTATTTTGTACATAAATGTAATTCTGATGGAACTGGTGTGGTATGGATTTTATTAATTATAATAAAATAATTTATTAATTTCCAGCCCTGTATATTTGTTACACGTAAGGCGCTTTGGTTAAAAATAACGGGATAAAATAAGTCTTAATGAAAATTAGTAAAAACATAATGGATAAATCCATGTTACAAGTTGATATCAAATTAAGGGGGTGGCAGAAAGTGAAGTGTGATAGATTAGAGCAGGGGTGGGCAAAATGTGGCCCGTGGGCCAGATCCGGCCCGCGAGGCCATTCTATCCAGCCCTCGGGGCCCCTAAAACAATGTAGAAAATTAATATTTCTCTGCCCTTGGTTCCTGTAAAAAATGACAGGAACCAAGGGCAGTAGGACCCAGGGGAAGCCCAGCGGGCTCCAACAACAGTGGGGCCTACCCGGCCCCGCCCCCAGCCGGAAGCCCCTATCGGGGCTTCTGGCCTGGGAGCCACGTGGCTGTCCCATGCTGGAACCGCAGGTAAGCGTGGGGGAGAAGGGCAGGAGGGACCCCGGGCAGGGAAGGAGTATGGGGGTGGGGGGAAGCGGCCCCTTCCCTGCCCCATGGCTGGCGCCCTGTGCTGCAGCTGCTCGCAGGCTGCCTGCGCCTGCTCCGGACAGCCCCGTGGGCTGCAAGCAGCTGCAGCAGGGAGCACCAGCCTTGGGGCAGGGGAGGGGCTGCTTTTCGCCCTGCGCTCAGCTTTTACCTGGGCTCCTTCCCTGCGCGGAGAAAAGTGGCCCCTCGCCCACCCCATGGCCGGCGCTCCCTGCTGCAGGCGCTCACAGCCCATGTGGGGCTGTCCGGAGCAGGCACAGGCAGCCCCAGCCCGGCTGCAAGTGGCTGCAGGGCGGGGCACCGGGCATGGGGCGGGCAAGGGGCTGCTTCCCCCTCCCCTCCCCTGTGCTCAGCACCACCTTGTAGCCCAGCCCCACTGCCAGGCTGGCAGTGGGGGCGGGTTACAACCTGGTGCTGAGCGTAGGGAAG